GATTTTGACTATTAACGCAGTGATGACAGACATAAGCTGACAGTTTGGGTAGGTTTGATTGAATACGGGAGCATTATTGGTCCATTCTTCTTTCGCAACAACATGAACGGTAACATGTACTCACAAATGATCAACGCCAACATCGTTCCAGTCATTGATCAAATGCCTCGTTACCGTTGCCACAGAAATGGATTGTTTCAAAGGGCTTGGTGGTCACAGGATGGTGCTCCACCACACAGGAGGAGAATGATTACAGAGCGCCTGACAAAACTGTTTGATAACTGTGTGATTGCATTGCATTGGCCTGTGGAATGGCAACTGCGATCACCCGACCTAACGCCATTGGACTTTTTCCTGTGGGGACATTTGAAGTCAAAGGTTTTTGTTTCTCCACCAGCGGACCTGGATTACCTTGACGGAAGGATCACTGCCGAGATCAATGGTCTCAGGCAAAACAGAGCAATGATCAGGCGCGCTGTCTCCGACATGCTGAGAAGGGCACGAATGGTGGTCACGTGGAGGACGTGGATGAGGTGAAAGATATTTATTGAAGCACATACCATACTTGCTTTTCTGGAATTTTGATCCAATTCTGCACAAAGCAAGTGTTTGCGCAAGCCAATTTTAGAGCAATTTAGGAAAATAGCTCCTGGTCAATCAGGCATGAAAATCTGTTCATGATCACAAGTTTAATAACAGCATGATACTCTAATCAACCCATGTAGGAGAAGAGATTTTCGAAAAAAAATCACATTTTTATTTTGCAGTTAATTTTCTGACTCTATACTTTTTTGATACACCCTGTATTGAAAAGGCTGGATTCTGGAAACTGTTTTCAAGACAAATGAAATAGTTGTTTACATATGGCCACCAAACCAACGTGTATTGCAGGCAGGAACAACAAACTGATGTTATATTTTATGGGACCTAGCCTGAGACATTACCAGTGCAAGACTGAAAAGGGTTGACGGGTCTAAGTTACGTGTATGATCACTGTCAGCCTTGCCTCAAATCCATCTGAGGATGTACTTCGAAACAAACAACTGCCTTTGCAAATGAGCGCTAATTAATTCACTTCACCCACATTCACTCATGCCCAATATATAATAACCGACTTTATTTCACTGTAATCTAGCTTCAAAGGGACTTCATCATGTACGGGGGAAAGAGCCTCCTCAGGTGGAGGGACAAGCCTCCTCAGAGGAAGGGACGTGCCCAGTGTCCCTTTCACCCCACAGTTACACCACTGGACAGCAGACGAGATAATGTGAAAAAGTTACACTGAGAACACAATATCATTTGATTTCTGCAGTACCTTCTTCATATGTATGGAATCAGTCACAATGTCTTCATCATCCGACGGTCCAGTGGGTGATGGGTAGTACACCTTACGTACAAAGGTCAGCTGCCCTTCAGAAAAGGTCTGCATCTCTGGGAGCTCTGAACAGCATCCAAACACAAAACGCCATTAAGTTTCACTTCGTTTGGTTTGTAGTAACGCCACCAGTTAAGCAATAGAACAATCAGCTTGCAGATGAAGAGTATAATAACATGTTGGTGTCGCAGCTGACTTTTTTTTGTTAAGGGTAAGTGTGCCACATCCTGTACTGCTCTATACACACGAGATATTATTGCAAAATGTATCCTCTCAAAACTTAACCTGCAGGGAAAACATCAGTACATTTCCCTCATGAACTTTTATCCAGACTTAACCTTTCAGTACTGTATGAACACAACTACCCAACATCTACAAGTAGGACTTTTTGCTTGTATGTAAAGTGGAGGAAAGCCACACGCACACACAGAAAAATATACATTGTTAATTGCAACCTCTCCATGCAACAGTTTTAGTAGAAAAACCGTGACACGACAAATGTTTATAATCTCCTATAGGTTTGGAAATAGGACCGGAAATGGCAATCACAAGCATGATACCCTTTAAAAACATATAAATTTACTGATTCATTTCATGTGGTCTCACAAAATGCAATGTTAAACCTTTACTTCCATGTTTCTAAATATGATCAAATGTTTGAGTGGATCAACTACAATTTAAAGCAATTTATTTGGGCAGATGACCAAACCACTTCTCTCAGTAGTACACACACATAATGGAAAACATCGCAGGGGATCCATTTTTGAATCTGTTGAAAGTGTAATTACCCATATTCCATTTGTCTTCCTTTTTTTGTTCAACATGGTGCTTGTGGAGAAATCTGAAATTGAAAACATATGTTGCTGCAATTAGAACATTCATTTTGACCATCAATCATGCACAGAATCAAGGTAACACATTCCTTTATATGGTGGTGTAAAAGTGAACTCTGGTACATGAAATCAAATGTAAATTTCAGTTAAAACCATCAGTATGTTAGAGATTTGTAAAGATGCAAACTAAACAGACTTTGAATAATTCTTTTTAAGGGGATATAGGTAGGTTGTGTGTATGAAGGGGAAGGGAGGGGAAGGGAGAGGGGAAGGGGGTCCAACATTTATCTACATCTAGGGGGCACATATATAACCTTACCGGCCCCCAACTACCAACTACCATGTGATGTTTTAAGCATGGTGCCGCCTGCCCATTACCAATTCGGTAGCAACTTAGGTCACATGTACAGTCCTTATTTGTATGTGGATGCCTATTAAATGGGACCAAGGTGTCTTTGTCAATCAGAGCATTCCTGTCTGTGACAGAGTCTGAGTTGGGCTAAGTTTCTGTGCTACTGTTCTCCATGGCAATGCAGCTTTGAGAGGCAACCTCATATTTGATGATCTCTGATTTCTGCAGACCAAGGTCAGCCTAGCTCTGAGAAAATTCAGTAATAGCAAGGTGAAAGGTTCATGACATGGAAGATTCACCAGTGGGATCTCTCTATGTTATGAGCCTATAATGCCGGAATATTCTAAGCTAGGTCAGTCTTGGAGGAAGTGGGTGTAGGCCCTCCCTTCGTTGAATTTCAACTGGAATAATACATGTTTTTTCCTATTGCAAACATGTTTTTAAAAACATGCTTTAAACGATTCTATTTGGAACCGCTAAAAACAGGAATAAAATAGGCTTTAACCAGGCTAAAACAGTGTGAAGAAAACACTTTTAAAACAGGTTCCTATTTTCTTGAAAACAAGAATAAAAACATATTTTATTCCTGTTTTCAGAAAACAGATCCTGTAGCAGTTAGAATTATACTGTTTCCTAGAAACCAGGAATGAAAAATGTTTTATCCCTGTTTTGTGAACAGTACATACATATTCATAAATAAATATTTACACATGTGTAAGATACATGTATTTGTGTCTTTCACATGCATCAGAATAGACATATAACTGTTTTATTGTAGCTTATGTCTACACATGTACGAACGGTTCTTCAAATCAAGTTGTGCCTTACATAGAATCATTGAATTGCTCTTCAATAATTTGTATGATATTGTACTGTTGTATGTACTGTACATGATGTTTCACTGAATGTCACTTCAACATTTAGGCCTACTGCTAATTCAGGAACTAGTTAGGTTTGCGGTTATACCATGTATAAATCTCTTTTAAGTTTTAGTGAGTGTTTGTTCTCAGAAGAACCGGTTCTACAATATGTACATTAAGGGCTGTGACAGGTGCTCTGCCTATATCAGGAGTATGCTTTGCCCATCATCAGTGATCATACATGTAGTTTATACCATAGAGCAAGGAACAGACTACATTGATGTAACTATAAACCTAACTAGCTGATTGGCACTTCACCATCCAAACCCTCCAAATGTATACTGTATACATTTCATACTGCAGGTTAATAGTAGACAACTTTCTACACACTGTTTTTTTCTGTACACTGCTTTTCCCCATTGCCAACACAACAACACATGCGTGCACTGATATGACTGACAGTGACAGCAGGCCTACAGACAATTGACAGACATGACAAATAAACCATTTGACCACACAAATCAACAAAACACTAATGGTGCAGTAAAAATTTCTGTCTCTTAATCTGTTAATATACACCCTTTCCTACCTTACTTTAGACTAAAAACAGTGAGTACATGTACTTATCAGATGGCATGAGCAAGCACTGAGCTCCAATCCTACTGCTGAGTGTTCAAACTGTGAAATCAAATTTCCCACAACCCCAAAGGTCACGCAGAGGTTAAAGGATATGTTGTGAAGCTTCGGTAAGGTCAAGCCCCTCAAAAACAGTCTTAGAAGAAATTGTGAGTCCCAGAAAAACAGTCAGAAAATGTGTAGGAGAAAAAACAGCCTTGGAAAACACAGATTTCAATACAGAAAACAAGAACAAAACAGAATCTAACAGACACATGTTTGGAAGGTAGAAATTGGGAACTTGAAGCTGGAGACGTAACGAAGCTGAGTGTATGTGCAATTTTGAAGGCAAACTGATGAGTGTCACGTTGCGAGTTTGCGATGGAATGCGCCGGTATGCGATTTTTTTTCGTACCACATAATATTCGCCACAGCCCATATAATAGGAAGTGCATAGTTATCGCTGCTCATGATCAACCCCACTTTCGCGCGTGCTGCCTACGTGCACCTGCATGTGCTGGCCTAACATTGGGTTCTGCTCTAACAATCATCAATTGACACTGTCGTTCCTAACATAATTGAGGTAAAAAACAGGAGTATCTTTTTTTTCATCTTGGGCCCATTTCTTTAGTTACTTTGCACTTCTTAATCATGGTAAATGGCAAGGAAATGAAACATCAGTTGTTTGGCTAACGTGTTTTACCTGTAATTCAACAAGCTCCCTGCATGTTAACTGAAATACGTCCAAAGAACATGCAAATTCCCCAAAGTGTGCCCACAGACTCCTGGCATCATACTTCAATCACATTTTTTTTATTCATCGTCTTGACCTTTTTATATGCAAATAACATTAGCCTGAATTGGTCTCTTATTTAAATGAGAAAATAAGAAACAAATTCAGGCCAATTCAGGGTAGTAGGCCTATCTATTCAACTTGATAGCTGTCTTGATGCGTTGTAGTTCTTGGTGTGGTTTTCTCTTAGCAGATCTCATAGGCGCGGCGGTCGAGGGTGCTGACCCGTGGGGGAAGGGTCTGTTGTGGAGATAGCTGTCGGTGTTATAGGTTTGCTTGCCCTGTACGAGGTGGTGGAGTGACCCATCTGGGTTTCTAGAGAGGTGGACGTCAAGGAACGAGAGCTTGCCATCTTCTTCTTGCTCCATCGTGAACTTGACAGTGGGATGCTGGTTGCTCGGGTGTAAAGAGATCTTGGCCGTGAGGTGAGATGACGGATGCGTCAACGTAAATGGTGGGCTCATAGTCTGCGGCGAGAAGTGAGGATGTCTTACATTCTTCCATGAAGATGTCGGCTAGGACTGGGAATATAGGAGATCCCACGGAGGTCCCAGCCGATTGCTCTGAGAACTTGCCTTGGAACTCGAAGTAGTTGGAAAATAGCCTACGCATAGGCGGATGAGTTTGGCGACTTGGGTGGGGCTGTAAGTACGCGTGGAGAGGCTGGAATCATTGTCGAGTCGTTGCTTGGCTAGTGAGTGCGTTCGTTTCAGTACGTTGGTGAAAAGTGAGACTACATCAAAGCTCACCATGATGCCAGTGCGTTTAAGAGTAGGCCGGTCTCCTGGTAAGGTCGACGAACTGGGTGGAGTTGGAGATAATGATGAGGTGTGTTGCGCAGAAAGGGCTGATGAGGGATGTCGTACGTCTCGTAGGTGGGTGATCCTCTCTATGCGGCCGGGATGGAGTCAGAGCAGTGGAGCGTAAGTAGCTTAGTATATGGTGTCTCCCTAGAAAGTTATATGTAATTTAAAAAACACACCCCTGGTAGGTGGTCGAGGATCGGAGTGATAATTATTACACTCATGACCACCGCTTTGTTCAAAAAGTAAACGTACACACTTTGCTATGCTCTGTGACCATTATTAGGCTTGTCAAAATGAAGTTGTGGGATTCATCATGGGCCCATGCATCCCTCCCCAGGGCACACAGTCCAGCCGCCGATAGCTCCGGATGGAGCCAGCCGTGAGCTTCACAAGGAACAGATCATTCACGAAAAGGGGTCATGTATACGCCAATTGCCTTACATGTTTTCAAACATGATTTTCCTTTTCGATTTCCCGTTCTCGGTTTGTATTTAGGCCTATTTTCCTCTTTTGTAATGTGCTTTTCATCTGTCTTTGAAATAATGCTGCACTGAATTTTATTGTGTTTTTCTTCCTATTATTTTTTATTTTTTTCTATTATTGTAATTTATCTGATTAACTTTAGGCATGGTTATTGTTAAGAACTTTTACTGTATTTAAAGTACATGTAAAATTTGAGCTAATGAGCAGATTACACATATTCTTGCTTACTGAAGTGGAATTCCATTTACCAAGATGACCCTCATGTGTTCTATACAACCGGAACAGTAGAAGAAGTCAATAATTGTCGTAATGTTCAATAGAGAAGTGTCATCATAGGTGGGCGATAGACCTTCGTCATTTGCATCATTTATGGTTTGAATTAATCACATTTATCCAAATTATATGGGCTAGGGAATCAGTAATCTCCATTATGTTACTATTATGGTTAACTTCAAGTCGATTAGTAGAAGTGCACATATCATTGAACTCGGTGGTTTTGCTGCCAAACCTATGCACACATACGTTACAACACATACAACGTCTGAAAAAAAGTCTTGACGAGGAAAACCAAAGTCCGAATTCGGAGACTAATTAATTAGTTCATGAAACTGAAGCCTGCCACCAGACCCGAGCATGAGCCGGAATGGTTTAAAAATTTCGCCTGAGTCCTTATTCACAGGGGTTTAATGACTTGCAGTATATGCAAGATACTACGGAGCGTATTGCTGCCAACGCAAAAAAATAGTTTGTCTCGTTGATAATAAGTTGTTTACACGAGATAAAATATTTTTTTCGTGTTGGCAGCAATACCCTTCTGTACGATACAGTCATGGAGAGCACTATTGGCTTATATGATTCGACGCACAAATTCCGGAAGTCATTAGCAATAGGCCTATAAGTCCATGCAGGTTCGGCTTTCACTTTCCGAAACTGTTCATATTGACGGGAGCGAGAGAATTAATCTCACATGATGACAGCCTATTTCTACGGAAGCGTATTTAGGACATGAGTAAATTTTTTTACCTTATTAAATCGCCTGGGTGGAACTATTTCACATTGGCGGATTATGCCTAAGTGTTTCACAATTTTGTCATTAAGCCGCGCCGTTGGAATACTAATCCGCCCAGGCGGAATAGTAATCCACCAGGGCGACTTGATAATCCGCCTGGACAAATTATTGGTAGTCTGCCCAGCGAAAAAGTGAGTCAAACCTTTTTGTAGTCGTGTCCAAAATACGCTTCCGTATATTTCTTAAAAAGAAATATAGCAGATATTATATCTCTGTCACACACACACTATGGCTGAGTTCGGGCGGCTTATTCTCGTAAGTTCACGAACAGCTCGCTTTGATGTTCGTTAGTCAGCCGCTCGAATGCCGGGAACGTTCAGCCGGTTATAGCTGGTTGTTGCATGCAACATGGCGGGATCCATGTACGTTATTTTAGGGTAAGCTTTGGAAAGCTGGGCTGAATTCTTTTCTATTTAAAAGGGACTCTCATTTCTGTGCTACAGAAAAATGATTATTGTTAATTTTGTTAAGCTTCCTATTGTCTTCCACTTTGTGAGCCATATTGCTGTTTTTTGCAGCTGTTCAAAAAACAAAATCTCTTTTTCCTGTGTGTTCCTGTAAAACCCTGACGAGGAGGTGGTGTGTGATCCTGTTCCCAGAACAGTGGGCTGGGTTCGTGTTCCCGCCATTCGAGAGCGAGAACAAGAAACCCGTGTCAAGAACTGGCCGCCCGAACATGACCAATGTGACATGAGGGTTGATTCAGTTCCATGATAATCAGAGTGGAGAATCATCACTAAAAAGCACGATTGGCACTAATCATGAGACAGTCAAACAAGAAGATAAACAAGAACTTAAAGCCAAGGCGAATATTCGGCAGTTAAGGCAAATTTTGACAGTGGGACTAAATGTACTCATCAACTTTACTCCTCCAAAATACAAGGGGAACACCTCCAAATCATCGATAATAAAAACACCCACACAAAAAAAACAAATATAACACAAAACAAAAACACTTACCCTGGTGCCGACTCTCGAGGAGCATCAAATTGATCCCGTGTCTTAACTATCTCTGGCAACTGCAGACCTGGGTTATAGTGAATCTCCTAATTGAGCAGTTGGGAAAGAAATGTTAGAAAGATTGGGACAAAAATGTTAAGTATTGAATAATGAGGGGGTTACTTCTCAAAAGTGCGGTGTGGAAGCGAGAATCCAAGAATCTGCAATAGGTTACCATCATTTTTGTCTGTTTGCATAGTATTAACGGAAAAAGAAATCTGTCATCTTTTCCACGTTCAGAGGTATTCAAAAAGTGACCCCTCCCTATTTCTTGGTCTATTTGTGCCCAAAGAATAACACTCAGATTAATTCTGCTAAATATGTATTACAATTCTTCGCAGTGCAGTTTTTATTTTTGTATATATAGTTCAACTTCATGTAGTATAAACCAGGATTGATCATAATGCGTGATGGACATTTTAGAATACATTTTCAGTTGGAAAAAAGACCAAAATAGTGTAACTTTTTAAAACTTAGCAAGGGGACATGAGAAACTCATCAAAAATAATAAAATTAGGCATTCTCCATCTTAGCCGAAATAATACCAATGAAGGCCTTTTTGAACTAATCTTTATTGTCTCCATTTTGCGCTTTGTCTCAGGCTCGAGAATTACCTCCAAATGCAACTGACCAAACCAATCGATATCCCAGCCACGCATAAAAAACCAACCTTTATCATAAAATTGTCTCAGACTGAGGCTAATAATAGATTCACAACACTGACTTATGAAGCCATAGGCAGAGACCAAACCGAGAGTTGAAGACAAAAACTCGCCCATACCTTTTGGTGTTTGGTTTTGCCATAGGGTATTGGGTGGGTACGTCTAGTCTTAGTGAAGACGATGATCCCATCGTTGCCTGGTGCCATCTGAGCGGTGTAGGACGCCTCGTGATCACCCTCATGGCCCCTGTCTTTGCTGTCATAGTTCCAGCCACTTGCCTGCCTCTAAGAATAAGATTAAATTGCTAGGTGCTATAGTCCTAAAATTCTTATGTTATTGCTTTCACTGGAGAATTTGATGCGTTTTGAAGAGCTGGCGGTAGATTCCATGCCCTGCTTATGTGTTTTCGCCGTATGCTTTGGTTTTCGTCAATTGCGTTTTGTGTGGCATATTTATCAAAAATATCGATTAACTGAGCTTATCTTCTAAACAAATATTAGAGCTAAACCAGGGGAAATAATTCAGGTCAGAATCACTAAAAACAGAAAGTTTCCAAACTTGTTTCAAACAAATTCAAACATTAAGCGCTCTGAACTGGAAAACTTGTCACTACATTGTAATCATAGTAATAATCATAATGTTCCGTTTTAGTTCCTACCGTACCTTCTCTTCAGGAGGATGTTGCAGGTTACCACCTAACAGGCTGACCAGACCTTTCTTGGCCTCTATCACGTGATTGTCCTCATCACGCGGGTGGAATACCTGACCAATTGCTCCGTTCTCGTTGATGTCAAAGGAGAACCTACAACGGGAGTTTGAAATATATTTCAGTATAGGCCTATTTCCTGAAAACCACACTCTGAATTAAATGGTTCAGTTAGGAAGAAAAGTCCTCAAGTGGTGATCCCGGGAAGGGGCACATGACACAGTTTTTGTACAGTGACATCTATGAGTTCTTGGTGAAAGTAATATAAAACCGCCTGACATTATTTTGTGCACAGGTGATCGTGCAAAGCAGTAGTAGGCCTCGACTGTAAACATGCCCGTCAGCGTTGACAAAATTCAAGTGAAGTTCTGTGTGATATATTTATAAAGATTTCCGCGGTTTCAATCTGTCTATAGACGGGACAAACAGAGACAATAATATTAAATTAAGGAGGGTAAAAATGTGCGTTGTTCAGGAAAAGCCGTTGAAGTGCTTTGTACTTTTATTGCTAATTTGTAGAGGGGACTGTTAGAATAAATCTGTCGTCAATCTGTGCTTGTATTCTTACATGGAAGTGAACAAATCTTTGGAAAAATAAAGTGTCCGAAACAAGCACCATTGTTTTCGAAGCCCCCGTATATCACCACAGGAGCTCCATCATTTTTTCCTACCGCCCTCATGTCCCTCTGCCTCTTTCCATTTTAGGTTCCATTCTGCTTCATGTTTTTTATAACTCTATTACAATTACCTTGTTGTGACAAGGTGCCCAATTTTGGGCCAATCACATCCTTTTGAAAACCCCGAGCTTGTCTGCTATGGGACTAAGAGGAATAATAAGACCTCACTCTCAATTAGCCTAAAGCGACAGCGCCGATCCCCTTTATTATGGTTAGTTAAATAATTTAGAAAGCTATGCATTAGATCAATGTTGGAAACCATAGTGTCACCAGCACAATGTACATTATTTTTTTCCACAGGACGCTGTATTCATCAGCATCAAACTGACAAACCGTCAGTGGTTGAAAGGGACTTATTTTGAGATATTTTTAAAGCAAATTTTCAAGTTCATTCCCTTTCCTCTTTTTCCCCTTTCAGATTTTTTTTATTTATTTATTTTTTTGAGGGGTGGGTGAGGCACCCCTCCCTTGCGAAGCCCCGTACTGTGCATGTGATCGCATGCATGTGATCGCAGGCCAACATAGCCTGCAGCTCCAATGTTATCTTAGGTGACTGTGTGGTGAATGCCTTGGTTTCTCTTGTGCAGCGACCCATCATTAAGGTGCTTGGCCCTAAACAGGACTGCGAGATGTTTTTATCCTGAGGAAACAGAAATAAAAGTGAGAGTTCCATCCCTCTGCCCTTGTTTCTTTTCTTTTTAACGGGAAGTATAGTGACCAGCCAAAAGTCCAAATTTCTGCTGTTGCTAATGCAGTTTAATTTCACTCCATAAGAACAAACTGCCAGCTGAAACAAACCGAATAAAACCGAAGTGAACCAATTAGCAAAACGAAATGATAAAATAACCGGAACTTATTATCGCTTTTCTCTATGTTATACAGTCGCACATGATTGCTAAATAAATTATGTTAAAATAGAATGCACTTATCAATCTAACGTATTTCAAGTGAGGCTAATTGAAACACCATGAAGGCAAATGAACATTTTGATCAATATGCCACGATTACACAAAAAGCAGCCTAAGGAATTCGGAAGATCATCACAGATTATTTGACTGACATAATTATTGCTCAGGCCTAAGTAATTACCTAATGAATGACTGTCGTATATAAGTATCAAATCATTAAATTATCTAAACGAAATATATATATTAGATTCACCAAAGGTGACAGTTCAAATACCCTTGGCTGCCTGGCCACTCTACATGTACTTCATACATATACATTTTGTTCATGAACTATACAAGGCCAGAAGGCCACGCCCAAACACAATAGCACTACAGAGGAATCCAGCCGGTCACTCTGGCATACAAATTTACATACACTGTAATCTGACTAGTCAGAAGCTTATTTGCATAAAACACTGTGAGTCTGCTGAGAGATGCATTTGGTCTTTGCAAAAGGGTAGTTATCATATGCTTTCCACTTGTAAATTCACAATTGTACATGCGCACAAATGGTCTTGGCGGTAAGGGCCATTGAAAATGACAGGGGTGCGATTTTGATCATTTTCTCTCAGGTTTTTCTGTAAAACAGCAAAAAAGGAGACCGGCTTAGTAAGGCAATTTTCGTGCGCACAGGAAAACTCACGCTTGTGAATTTTTTTAACAGAGCATTAAAAATTCCGCTTCGATTAGAAACTAATGGAAAACACGATTTAATGGGATTTTCTGAAGAAAAACATGATTAAAGCAAGAATATCTGAAAGAATAGTATTAAAATCGCACCCCAGGCCTGTACGTTTTCAATGGCCCGCTCACACTTCGTACTGCCAAGGTCATCTGTGCGCATGCGTGCATAAATTATGAATTTATTAGTGAAAAGTCTATGCTCCCTCCCTTGTGCGCTAATTTATGGTGAAAACAGCTATCTTCTTCCATTAGGCTAGATTTAGTTCAGCCTATCAGCTTTCAGCCACGTACATGGAATGTTTCTTACATTCCAGCCAATGATAAGTTTTGTTTGTCATGCTCCACCCACATTTTCTGAAATTGTCGCTGCTTATTATAATCCTGATAACAACACATAAGCGAAGTGACGACTTAAAATAGGTTTGAAAACGTTTGCCGGAAAAAGGAAGCAGCCCTAGGGTACAGTTGGCATGCATGTGTCGAAACAGCTATATAGTTTGCAAATCATTGAAAACTTACCACTTGCTAAAATCTCTCTCCTCGTGCAGAAGCACTGCGTAAAAACAATGACGATATGGTAAATAAAGATGCGAAATTATCTGTAAATTTGACACTCGAAGACACATTTGTCTTCGAGTGTCTGAACCAATCTTCATCTAAATGCATTAGTAGTCCAAAAATTCTCCAACCTATTATCGAATCTATGTCATTAGAAATCTTAGACATTTTCTCAGTCTGAAATCAAGCAAGGCGTATACAGATAACGTACCGGAAAAAATTAGTGAGATGATTTTTATTATGCATATCGGAGATCTGAAGAATGTGTAATAAAGTTACACTTGTGACACAGCCGTGCTATAAAGTATTTGGCGGACTGCAGTATACTTTATGGAGCCTACACGGAAAAGGTCTTGAGGCAGGCATTCTTACTGTAGTTAAAATTTAAAACGATCGAGTCCGGAGGAAATCAGGAAGTTTAAAGAGTCTGTAGCTCGATCCTTAATAAAATAAAATATGGGACCATCCCACGCTACAGATCTCCAGCGCACACGAAACACTAGTCATCTGTATTTTGAAGTAGACCGTAAAGACACGGTTCCCAGAACACAACACAAAATCCCACGACAACGGGCAGTTTTGAGTCCTCACAATCGCTCTAATAGCAGTATCCTGACTTATAGATCTCTCTTCAGCGGTAATTACACAGCCAGGGAAGTGAGATTTACATACCCAGAAGCTACGATATGTTGGGCAAATCTTAGGTCTTCGACTCGGAGTCATGAACACGCATATAAATATTTCAGAAGTTTTACGACATTCTAGTACTGTCGTGATTGCGCTGAGATCACATGGCACTCGCATGCATACAATGCTACACTTTCGTTCAACGCAGGAACACTTGTGTAACAAAGCTTATGATTTGTACCGATACTCGTGGTAACATTTCTTTTCTGCAGCTGAAAAATCAGGTCATAAACTGTATTTTCTGTTGTATTTAAATTATGCATACGTTCGGATCGATTAGCTGCGAGAAAAGAATATTTAACAGGAACAGGTAAAGTCTAACATCTGTCAAAGTGTAGTCATAGCTATGAATTCGTAATTTCATTATCACAAATCGGTTTGTTTAGACAGTCTGTAGGTTAAAATTGGAGGACGTGCGGGCGTTAACGGGGTAAGGGCAAGGTCCCCTGGGGAAAAAATGAGAATGAAAAAGGGGAGAGAGCAACAGAAAGAGGGGAAGATGACACGGGAAGAAAATAACCAGTTATGCTTGAAAATACCCCCAAACTGACCTTATTATGGAATTCCATATCTGCCGTCGTGCGTCGCCCGTCGTGCGCCGTCCGTCGCGCGTCGCCCGTCGTGCGTCGTCCGTCGTGCGTCGTGCGTCGCGCGTCGCCCGTCGTGCGTTACCCTTGGGGTTTTTTTTGTCACGCTTGGGCGATGTTACTTTTAACTTTGACCCTTGATCGTTTCACATGTACTTGTTCGATCGATCCACCATGCCTGACACTCATTTTAGCAATAGAACTAGAAGATGTACATGTATTCGTTTTTGCAGTTGCGCCAAACTCCAATTGAAAGAAGAAATAANACCTAAATGCCTGGTCACTGAAATGTTTTGACGACAGTACCAGTAAATATACAGATTATTGGTGGGTGTCTCTTTGAAAGAGATTAAAGCAGATAAAATTTCACAACGATACCTTGTTTGCCCTCGCTGGCTGCAGCTGCTGAGTGAACACGCAGGTATATCTCCTGGCTCCCACTGCTCTGGTTTGACTTTTTCACCAACACAAAGCCAATCTTGTAAAACGGCGAAAAAGAAAATGAATATGCCACGCGTAAAAAAAATTAAATAAACTAGGCCGATATAAGAACAGAAAAGAGCTTATAGGTATATTGACAGATCAGGCTCCGACGGTTAACATTTTCATTGCATTCACATGTACTGTGCACTATAAATGCAATGAGTATACAGCGTTATTTCGTTAATTTGGACAGCTCAAAATAGTTATAAGCTTGGAGATGGGTATCGGGGGTACAACATAAATTTGCCTTTTCCAATTTGAATAATAAGAGATGAGTGTCAGAATCGATCAACACTGCGTTTTAGTACTATAAAGAGGTCAAATAACAGGGTTTGACCTTTCCTTTGAGGACAAAATTGTTTCCAAGAATTTACGCAATTTTACAAACAGTGATAACCTTACCAAAAATCAGCTAACACATTTCTTCAGGCAAAGAACAATTCGTGGAAAGAAACATTTATGTGGAGATTTATTTAACAGACTTGTTTGTGTGCCACTGTTCGTCAGGATTAAGCAGAGACAAAGGGATCGAGACACAAAAGAACTCCCAATGTGCAGTGGCTAGACTTGCCAATAGAAAACCAATATGACTCAAAACAAGTCAAGTTGAAACACAAAATTTCGGCAAAAGCCCCCCCCCACAACAGGGGGCGTATATTAAACAGTCATGTGGTTCATACACGTGTAATGATCATTGACACAGTGAACAGAACGTCAGACTTTGAAATCCTCATCGTCGTTAAAAGGATAAAGGGTCTGTCACGATCTGATTGTACTATGAAACACATTTGCAATTTCCCAGCCCTTTTGAACTGAAGATAAAGAATAATACAAGTATACCCCTTTGTTGTAAGAAATGGTTTGAAGGGTCCCTCACAACAGGACGCTGTTGCTTTGGCCGACTTCATACATGCGTTCGGGTTCGTCCAAATTTTGAACCCAGACTGTAGCTCACTGAAAACATTCTTGTATAATGATTTCACGCTCATGGTCTCAGATCATCAATGATCTGAATCAGAAGCGGAACTGGTTTGAAGCAAAACTCACAAATACTTCCAGCTTTGATGCTGAAGCAAGTGCCGAAGTCGACATCACGGCATGCATATTTTGCACAAGGTTTTGGGGACAGATTCAAAGTCATTTTTTTAGGGGGAGGGAAATTTTTTCGTGCAATTAGGCCAAAACAATTGAACACTTTTGTGTAACCTTAATTTCAGGGCTTTTCTAAGGGGTGAAATTTGGTGGCATTAGATAGGCTTACGTAGGAAACGTAGGGGCCTACATTAATTAGACCAGAAATCGCCTTCTTACAAAAAGGAAATGTGTTTTCTCCTTTGTTGGGGGGGGGGTTGCACCCGTGGCAACATCTGTCTCTGTGTCCGACCTTTTACAAGGATATGGCTCTTATCCAAATAAAAACAAATTTAAAAAAAATGACCCAAACACATAGCAAAACAAATCTGAATGGTGAACGGACATGGACGGAAGGACTGTAAATGAAACGAAATGTACAATGTAATCAGTTGGGCTCTCACTCTATGTATGCATGTAGTAAAAAGTTTGGAAACAATTTAAAGCAAATCAGATTGAGGTGTCGACAAAGTGGGTCAAGGCATTTAGTTGCGACTCGGAACTCCCTTAAACAGCATTAATCTCCTGGGGAAGCATTTTGGAGCTGAAATGTCTGTCGGGGGCACTGCGTGTTAATAAGAACAAAATGGGGGGTCAGTCTTAGCCCTAACCTTCCCACAAATGAGAGTCAAGAAATTCTGGAGGTTACATGCAGGAAGAACTCGAAATGTAGAGGATATAAGACCATGTTCTGGACCAAAAGTCGCAATCTCGACTATTTCTTACAGGTAAACTCAAAATCCATGTATTGTATTCAAGCTTTGATACCTTAGACTCGGCATGCAGCGTTCGAACACTCTTCAGTTCCGTGGAGGAGTGGAAGGCGTAGATGTACTCAGTGTCTGGTTTGAAACGGATGAAACTGGCCAGTACGGGACTGAGTGAACCCACGGTGATGAAGAACAGAGTCAACTTTACTCGGAACCGAAGATCGGGCCCTTGAGAAGACAAGGCCATCATGATGATGGCTTGCTCCTAACAGTCGAGAGATCTGCTAAAACCTCTTCAAAAATGCTGGAAAATATTTGCAATGAGAAGGGATGCTCAAGAGAGTAATTTCACAGTTGACACGAGGTTTGCCGCAGGTTCTACACTACACAAATATGGTATGAATTTTACACTCTAAAGATCTATAAAGTATCACAACATCGGACCAGTGTTGTTTTATATGGATTTACAGGGCGTTAAATTGACCAAACATTAACTTGTTACACCACAGCACAAAACGGTTTCCTTTAACTGAATCGAGAATCACATCCTTAAAATAAAACCTGAATTCGGCACGCATATAACGTTAACTTATGGAGGAATTTTTAGTCACACGATTTTTGACGGGAGAGATACATTTAGGGGGCCTAGCTACATACTTGACGTTCATTTTGTGCGTCTATGAGGGCGTTAAGTTACCTTGCACTGAATGGATCGACGCGTATGCACGCACTGGCGATCTAGTCTTTTTATTTTACATCTATGGTCACGACAACATTATTGGTCTGAGAATTAAGAATGTGACGTGCGCGTATCGCTCCGCTGTAGTGGAGGTTTTTCACGTGACGGTGCATGCACTGTGGTTTAAGACAAACATTTCATACATTTTTCCCTTGATATTATGCTTTAATCAGTTAAGTAGTATCTGATGAAATAACGTGCACCAAAATAATTTTGTTTTTTAATAGTTTTACCTTATATTCCCCTGTTACGTAACTTAGCTTTCTTTGAAGATAGGTAGACTTATTATAGTCGAAAAATGTCCAAAAAACCCTGCTTTTCAAAACAAAATTATATCTTCAGAGAGAAACCTTTGCACCATTTTGTGGCATGTTAGACACTCTTTCACCTGATAGAAATTTGCTTTCGAAAAATATTGAATAGAGTGCAGAAATTCGTGTTTACTGTTTACATTAAACTATGAACAGTACGAAACAAGAAAAATACACATCGACTTATATTTGTTGATGTATTTTTGCAATCGGCCATAAACAGTCAGGGCAAAAATGTCTAGTTTATTCGTAAATTGGTTGACTGGTTATTTGGCTACAAAAATGAGCTGAAAAGCCACGCAATTCATCATTGTGCCCAAAACATACACTAAATTATACACTAAATTATTCTATATTAGAGGGCTCTGAGAGCCATGGAATTTGGGAATGGAAGAAATATGACACTGAACCTCTGGCCTAGACTCGGGGCTTTCATTTTCAAAATGGCTACTTTTCCGGGCAGTGCAATTTCCTTCATTTTAGGGGTGGTCTGCTTTGGGTGACAATTTCTTAAATATTCATCGGTTAACCCACTAAAACTTGAAAGGAAAATGGAAGAGGACATGTTGGACATCGTTTTTCTGTGTAGCCTGAACACCTGTGACAGTCGTGAGTATTTTTTATATATATTTGTGAAGTAAGGGGATTTATCACTGCCGTCTATGGGAATGTATTTGCTGCGGTGCACCCTGGAGGGTAATATCCATTGATCTGCATTATTAAGACACCGCGCATTGTTTGTGCACAAAATGTGCAGCCGAACAATGGTGGCGGGCTGCGTTTCAGGAGGGTAATGTGATGCTGTATGTTATGCATTTATCGGTACCTATTCAAAATTTAATATGGAGAAAACAATTTTCTTATGGGACGGTGGCTATGCCCCAGGCCTCCGTTTCGAAAACAAGCAAAAATAAACAGAAACTTCAAGACCACCATTTTCCGGAATTAACTGACCATTTTCTTCTAATTAAATAACGCACTCAAAATCATAACACTATTTTTGTGTATGTGTTTGTTTTTTTCACACCTGTTGTCTACAATCTTTCTTGGGAATTTTCACTTTGGGTTGGTTCAGTCGAAATCTATTCATGGTTTTGGTTCAGGCTGTGTCTGCAGATCCGACAAACACAAATCATAGCTTTCTTGGACAATTTTCCTGTGAAATCTGGGGAAAATAAACGACAAATCAACCCCTCAGTGTTGAAACCACATTTGCCAATAAGTAATATTTCAGAACTTCGATATAGTGAAGTCTCATATACAAAGCCTGATAGGCTACATAGACGTCATAAGTTTCTTACTATAATAGGCTTTGTGTCAAGCATTATAAAGTACAGGGAATGCAGAAACTTTCTGAAAGTGCGACTCGCATGTCAAAAGCTGTTCCTTCTTCTAAACTTGAATTTACCATCGATCTCCTGCAATTTGCCGTTGTGCACACCTCAACCATTATTCTTTCCAAATTTATCCTTTTCAGGTGCGGAACTCAGTTTAAAATCTGACGATTGAAGTGCAATAACCTCAGGCAGTTTTTCTAAAACTCCGTTTGAAAGTTCACGCAACAAAAGTCGCAATCAACGCTTGTTAATTATCCTCCTGAAAATACGCATGCACTTGACGCGTGCACAGTGTGCAAACACTCAGTGAATACTGTGTGTTTTATCTTACCAGAAATAAAACGCCCTTTGAGAACAAATAGACAATTTTTCCAAGTTTTCATATCCCTTTTTCCTCTGTGATTTTTGACAATTGAAGATAAATATTGAATAACTTTATCCGTAAAACGAAAAAAATATACTCACGCGAGAATTGAATCAAATTCATTCACATGCTGGATAAGTTAAATTCAAATTGACTTTCACAAGCAAACTAATTGTAAATTAATATGCAAAGCTCTTAAGGAGTTTGTAAAAACAAACGTTGTAAATAAATAACTATTTTCCGTACAGATAAACGATCATTATTCATGGAAATGGAGAGTAGGCCTACTTCTTTTCCTTTTTCTCAAATAAGCAACAAATTAGCGAGAAGAAATACGACGTACGGCTACGACGCATAATCAATGTTCAAAGAATACTCATCATTAAATGACTTTATACGCAGGAAATTCAGTTTAAAGATTGCACTTGCTTTAGCTCAGTTGTTGGGTTTTGTACTGTGGTTGCATTGCTTGAAGTTCCATCTTATCAAAGCATAATCGAGAGCCGGTAGATTTCCAATTCATATTTACTTAATTTTCAAATATCAACAACAACTATAAAGTGAAAGTTGTTCTTGGTTGGGGAAGATGGAATAGGCTTTTGTCAGTGATCGCTTCTGGTCTTCACTGATGAGCTTCATTCCCCCAACTTTTCAGTCATAGGTTCAAGGGATTTCTCTCTTCCTTGAGTAGTTTTTCTCGTGGCACTCAACTGTTGTTTCGTGGCTTTCAATTAACTCTTTAGATCGTTGATTCCCTCGTCAGCCTAAAGAAACAAAACAAAACAAAAATAGACGAACATAAATCCCCGGGCTGCAGCATGTTCAGTCAAAGCTAAGTGTGAGCACTGGGAATATTCAGGAAACTTAAATGTCAACATGAAAGCATCGACCACTATTTCCCTTGTTTGATTCAATAGATTGCCTTAGTTCATTGTGTGGTGATATTATCGATATTATAATGCATGTGAAAGAGGAACTTTTTATGTACCAACTTACTTGTGAAAAGTTAATCCTTTTTCCCGACTCCGTTTTTCCTTTCTCTCCAGGCAATTCACGGCTGCGCAGACTTTGATCATTATTGTATCCTATTTTCTCAATTTCGTGGGCACAATTCTCTATTTTCTGAAAACAATTGGCGTTTAAAAGAACAAAAGTCGTTCAGGAGTTTAAAAACTCCCTTGGAACGTGCACGCAACGCAATGCCTGCACGTGTGTTTGTTACTCTCCTGACAACACGCATATGCGGGACGCGTTTTGGACGCAATGTCCTATCCAGTTATTATAATGGAGATCATTGATAGTACACTATAGCATTAGTGGTGCATGCATAAGCTTGTATGACGAATTCACTTACAAGCCGGATATTGGCTTTTCATGTGGCAAGAATATTGAGAGACTTTGGAGGTGCGCAGTTTCCTCACACATTTTGTGTAAATTGAACCTACTGTCAAAAATCACGTGACCAAAACTCCTGTATACGTAGGAAACTGGCATGATTGCAGGTGATCTCCAAATAACGCCTCCTTTACATGCGTCATTGACTTCGAGTGTTTACTAGCAACTTTTGTGACCTTACCTACTCACTGCAACTATTTATTTTTGTGGCTGATCAATCAGGTTATCTAGTTTATCTGTGTTCACGCGTAATTAAGGTTTGCATAAAAAGTGTAATTGATCAGCTCAAGAAAAGGATTTTTTTCCCAGGATCATCGTAACAATCCATGAAACTGTAATTAAAACCTTTCAGTTCAGTTGTATGCAGATATTCGACTAGATAAACGCTTCGATAAAACTATACTATTTTGTAAGTGTAACTTACAGTAAAGTACAATAAAGTTGAAAAGTTGGATGGGCTATATTTAAATTATCGACGCCATAAAGGGTGCATGGACCCCATGAAAGACAGTTATGATAGGTGAAGCATTACCGAAGTTACAAAATGTTGAAGAACACAGCACTTACCTGTAAAATAAAACAGTTTGCACAGTGGGTTTGCAACGACAAAATTGAACTTGTGAGCTTACGTGTAGTACAGTGAGAGACGGAACATCGACTGAGAAACAAACGGGCGTGAATCAGTGGAAAATTTTACTTCCTAGAGATGATGATGATCTAGAGGTGTCACGTGATGTTGGTTGAATCAGACCTTACACGATAACCACCGCTGCTTCAATAATAGATTTAACTGACGGACAGTGTGACTCTGACAGCAAGTGATTCGTTTACAGCTGTTCGCATTTAGTCATTTGACCAACCCCTGACCACTTAGTTTGTGTAACGTTACAAACGGGCAAAGCACAACCTGGTAATTAAGACTCGTTGGTAAAGACACAAGTTACATGGACTGATCCCTGCAAGTACTGCATGCTATAGTAAGTACCGAAATCTTTTCAAAAACCTGTTTCTACTGAAGAACTTGTTGGACCACATGGAGAAATAAACGCGTCATTTGTTATTAATGTGCTGTTTCTAATAAGGGCTATTGAGTTTGTATTCAGATATCCAGGAGAGACGTCAATTTGAAGACCAAACCTGATTTTTAGAATACTTTCACCCACGTGGGCTCGCTAGAAAAGAGTTTTGTGATTAATCTGGAATTAGTTAAAAGCAAGCAAAAGTGTGTGATATTGGCAACCCATAATTAATCAGCGGTGAAAATGTCAATAGAACGAGCGAGAAAACTGAAGCACGTGTGGGCTTCCATAATTGATTGTCATAGCGGTCCCTATTAACCCCCTTGGTAATGACTTTGTGATATATTTCTCAACATTTTCATATTTTTAAATGAATTTTAATTTTTGGTTGCATCGAGCTGAATTTGTTTGTAATCCTCAAGCTGCTGGTCTCTCTCTCTCTCTCTCTCTCTCTCTCTCTCTCTCTCTCT